CCCTCCCCGTCTCGCCCCCTCCCAGATCTTCATCTCCGTGGTGCTCGTCTCCCTGGTATTGGCCTTCAGCTCCGGTTTCCTGGCCGCAGAATTCAGAGACAAGCACTACTACGTCTCGGCCCTGCAGCGGGACAGCGTGGCCGCAGACACCTTCCTCATGTTCTGGGGCTTCCTCATCCTGCTCAGCGTCACCATCCCCATGGCCATGTTCATCATGTGAGTCCCCGCCGGCCGGCCGCGCCCCGGGCTCAGATGCGGGCCGCGGAGCCGTCGGGGCTGACCGAGACCCCGTGCGCCTCCGCAGATCCGAGTTCATCTACCTGGGGAACAGCGTCTTCATCAACTGGGACCTGAACATGTACCACGAGGCGCAGGACGTGCCGGCCAAGGCCCGAAGCACCAGCCTCAACGACCACCTGGGCCAGGTGGGGTACATCTTCTCGGACAAGACGGGGACGCTCACGCAGAACATCCTGACCTTCAACAAGTGCTGCATCAACGGCCGCGTCTACGGTACGCGGGGCTGGGTCCTCCCTCTCCCGAGGGGCTCGGGGACCACGGACCAGAGCTGCGGCTGGCCCCATGCCCGGCACCCCCACCCACATCTCCACCACGGAACCATAGCTACATGGCCTGGTTGCTTTTGGAGGGGCCAGGAAACTTTTTTTTTTTTTAGAGGGAGTCTCACCCTGTCACCCAGGCTAGAGTGCAGTGGTGTGATCTCAGCTCACTGCAACCTCAGCCTCCTGGGATCAAGCGAGTCTCCTGCCTCAGCTTCCCAAGTAGCTGGGATTGCAGTCCTACACCACCCGCCTGGCTGATTTTTGTTTTGTTTTTTTCAAGTAGAGATGGGTTTTCACCATGTTACCCAGGGTGGTCTCGAACTCCTGACCTCAGGGGATCCGCCCGCCTCAGCCTTCAAAATGTTAAAAATGTTGGGATTACAGGTGTGAGCCTCTGCCCCCGGCAAAACTTTTAAAAAGTTTTTTTTTTTTTTTTTTTTTTTTTTGATGGGGGTCTTGCTCTGTCGCCTAGGCTGAGTGCAGTGGCGCGATGATACCTCATGCAGCCTTGAATTCCTGGGCTCAGGCCATCCTCCCGCTTCAGCCTCCCAAGTAGCTGGGACTACAGGAGCGCCCCACCACACCCGGCTTGTTTTTGTATTTTGTGTAAAGAGGGGGGGTCTCCCTATGTTGCCCAGGCTGGTCTTGACCTCCTGGGCATAAGCAATCCATCTGCCTCTGGAATTACAGAGGTCTGCCACCACACCTGGCCACCACTCCTTTTGACTTTCACAAGCCTTTATTTGTGGATGCTGAGATTCGAATTTCTTAGTATTTCCCAGGTCACAAAATAGTATGCTTGTCATTTTTTTCCCTAACCATTTAAAAATGTAAAAACAATTCTTAGCTTGCAGACCATATAAAAATTGCTGATGGGGTGGAGTATAGTTTGCCAGTCCTGGGTCTAATTTATAACCAGGGCACGTGGTTTAGACCAGGATCTCAGAACACCTGACTGGGTCATAATTTAATGCAGTGACCAGTCCCCAAGAAATGGTTCAGGTTCAGCCATAAAAAAATGGGCCCGAGGCTGAGGCGGGCAGATCACTTGAGGTCAGGAGCTCGAGACCAGCCTGGCTAACATGGTGAAACCCTGTTTCTACTAAAAATACAAAAATTAACCGGGCGTGATGGTGTGCACCTGTAGTCCCAGCTACTTGGGAGGCTGAAGCAGGACAATTGCTTAAACCTGGGAGGTGGAGGTTGCAGTGAGCTGAGATTGCACCGCTGCACTCCAGCCTGGGTGACAGAGTGAGACTCTGTCTCAGAAAAAACAAAAAAGGGAGTGCCCATCAGGTGGCTCACGCCTGTAATCCCAGTACTTTGGGAGGCCGAGATGGGTGGATCAGCTGTGGTCAGGAGTTCGAGACCAGCCTGGCCAACATGGTGAAACTCCGTTTCTACCAAAAATACAAAAAAGTAGCCAGGCACAGTGGCACACGCCTGTAACCCCAGCTAGTCACGAGGCTGAGGAAGGAGAATTGCCTGAACCTGGGAGGCAGAGGTTGCGGTAAGCTGAGATTGCGCCATTATACTCCAGCCTGGGTGACAGAGTGATACTCTGTCTTAAAAAACAAAAAAAAAAAGGCTGGGCATGGTGGCTCACACCTGTAATCCCAGCATTTTGGGAGGCTGAGGTGGGCGGATCACCTGAGGTCGGGAGTTCGAGAGTAGCCTGACCAATATGGAGAAACCCTGTCTCTACTAAAAATACAAAAATGAGCCAGGTGTGGTGGCACATGCCTGTAATCCCAGCTACTCAGGAGGCTGAGGCGGTAGAATCACTTGACCCCGGGAGGTGGAGGTTGCAGTGAGCTGAGCTTGTGACACTGCACTCCAGCCTGGGCGGCAAAGCGAGATTCCACCTCAAAAAAAAAAAATACCTCACCCCAGAAGGAGCACAAAAAACATGTTTTCTGGCCAGGGGTGCACCCAACTCTGGCTGTCCTTCTGGGGTCCCTGGGAGACAGGACGGGGTGCTCCCGTGTTCCCCACTTTGTGCAGATGGTAAAAACGGAGGTCAGCTTTCACCCCAAGATTGCTTGGGGTGTGGGTTCCGGAGCCGCAGGCCTGGCTTGTGTGGCTGCATCCGGCGGCCCCTGGAAGCCTGAGATTGGGGGTCGGGGCTGTGGGACCCCACGTGGGGGGTCTGGCGGAGCTGGGACCTGAAGCTGAGTCTTTCCCCAGGGCCGGATTCGGAGGCCAGGAGACCTAAGGTGAGCCTGCCCACCCTGCAGCGAGGGACGGTGAGCGCGTGGGGCAGGGGAGAGGCGCGCCCACAGCCAGCCGTCCCCGCCCCAGGAGAACCCCTACCTCTGGAATGAGTTCGCGGACGGGAAGCTGCTCTTCCACAACGCGGCCCTGCTGCGGCTGGTGCGGAACAACCGGGACGAGGCGGTGCGGGAGTTCTGGCGCCTGCTGGCCATCTGCCACACGGTGATGGTGCGGGACAGCCGCGGTGAGCGCCCGCCGCCCCGCCCGCCTCCCCAGCTCCCCACCCTGCGGGGGCGCAGGCCCCGGGCGCCGCGCCGCGTCCCCAGCTCACCGCCCACCCAGCCCATTTTCCAGGGCGCCATTCATCGGGCTTAGGGGGCACTCAGGCCGGTGACCCCAGCGCCGCCTCGACGGCGTCCGGGCCTGCATTCCAGGCAGCATTGCCAGGTGTGGGGCGGGAGGGCGGACGCGCCATCTTTGGGGCCAAGGGACGTCCAGGCCTGCAGGTGCAGCCCACGGAATCTGCTGTTGAGCAGGGAGGCGCTCCCCCCGCGTGTGGGGCTTAGAGGTTGTGCGGGCCGGGCCGGGAGGCCGTCATCGGCACAGCGGCAGCCCTCGCGCGCTCCTCCCTGCACTGTGGAGATGGCGGTGGGACTCCGCCCCGTGACCCCAAAACAGCCCCCCTCCCCACAGGCCAGCTGTCCTACCAGGCGGCCTCCCCCGACGAGGAGGCGCTGGTCACCGCGGCGCGGAACTTTGGCTACGTCTTCCTGTCCCGCACCCAGGACACCATCACCGTCATGGAGCTGGGGGAGGAGCGGGTCTACCAGGTCCTGGCCATTATGGACTTCAACAGCGTGCGGAAACGGATGTCGGTGCTGGGTGAGCCCCGCCGCGGAGCCCCGGGCCCGAGGGGGTGGGCGGCAGGGGCGCCTCTGGGCAGCAGCGCCTGTTCCCCCACAGTCCGCAAGCCAGAGGGCACCATCGGCCTCTACACCAAGGGCGCAGACACGGTCATCTTCGAACGCTTGCACAGGAGAGGGGCCACGGAATTCGCCACAGAGGAGGCCTTGGCTGTGAGTCCCTGCAGGGAGGAAGGCTGGTGTGTGTGTGTGTGTGTGTGTGTGTGTGTGAGTGTGGGTGTGTGTGTGTGAGTGTGTGTGTGTGTGTGAGTGTGAGGGTGTGTGTGGGGTGTGTGTGTGAGTGTGTGTGTGTGTGTGAGTGTGGTGTAGGGACAGGAGGCAAGGGAGGAGACTGCAGAGAACTGCATGGTTGCAGGTACTTGGGATGGCTATGTACAGTTGTGTAGGTTGTGCACGGCACAAAACCCCCTCCCCAACACAACACACACACAGGCGGGAGGCAGCTGAACTCCAAAGTGTACCACCCCAAGAGAGGTTGTCTTTTGTTTTTTTTGTTTTTGAGACAGTCTTGCTCTGTCACCCAGGCTGAAGTGCAGTGGCATGATCTTGGCTTGCTGCAACCTCCACCTCTTGGGTTCAAGTGATTCTCCTGCCTCAGCCTCCCAGCTAGCTGGGACTACAGGCACATGCCACCACACCCAGCTAGTTTTTTCTGTTTCTAGTAGAGATGGGGTTTCACTGTGTTGGCCAGGCTGTTCTCAAACTCCTGATCTCAGGTGACCCACCCATCTCAGCCTTCCGAAGTGCTGGGATTACAGGCGTGAGCCCCCGCGCCTGGCCCCTTCCCACTTTCTTTTTTCTTTTCTTCTTTTTTCTTTTTGAGACGGAGTCTCACTCTGTCATTCAGGCTGGAGTGCAGTGTCGTGATCTCGGCTCACTGCAACCTCCACCTCCTGAGCTCAAGCAATTCTCCTGCCTCAGCCTTTCAATAGCTGGGATGACAGGCACGTGCCACCACCCCTGGCTAATTTTTTGTATTTTTAGTAGAGACAGGGTTTAACTGTGTTATCCAGGATGGTGTCCATCTCTTGACCTCGTGATCCTCCGGGCTCGGCTTCCCAAGGTGCTGGGATCACAGGCGTGAGCCACCGCGCCTGGCGTTACACAAGTTTTCTGAGCCCCTTCTGGCTGCTGTGGGTAGGGGAGGCGACAGACTCTTGGTGGTGGGGCCCAGGCTCCAGAGCCCAGCAGGGGGCTGGGGAGGGCTGAGCCTCGGGTGTCCAGTTCAGAATAATGACAGCTTCCACCCGCCTGGCCCCTAGGCCTTTGCCCAGGAGACCCTGCGGACGCTGTGCCTGGCCTACAGGGAGGTGGCTGAGGACATTTATGAGGAGTGGCAGCCACGCCACCAGAAGGCCAGCCTTCTGCTGCAGAACCGGGCACAGGTCCTGCAGCAGGTGTACAGTGAAATGGAGCAGAACCTCAAGGTGGGTGGGAGGGTGATGGGGCACCCAAGGGGGCCCTGGGACTCTCCTGCCCCTGCCAGGAAGCTGGGCGGCTGCTCAGTGTCTTCCCGTCCTGCCTGCCCCCGACCAGCTGCTGGGAGCCACAGCCATCGAGGACAGACTCCAGGACGGCGTCCCTGACACCATCAAGTGTCTCAAGAAGAGCAACATCAAAATATGGGTGCTCACCGGGGACAAGCAGGGTGAGTCCTGGTGGCTCCGGGTGGCTGAACCCCACGGCGTGGATCTTCAACCATCCGCCAAGCCCCAGGCGGGGCGCAGTGGCTCACGCTTGTCATCCCAGCACTGTGGGGGATCACCTGAGGTCAGGAGTTCGAAACCAGCCTGGCCAACATGGCGAAACACCATCTCTACTAAAAATACAAAAATGGGCCGGGTGCGGTGGTGGGTGCCTGTAATCCCAGCTACTTGGGAGGCTGAGGCAGAGAATTGCTTGAACTAGGAGGCGGAGGTTGCAGTGAGCCAAGATTGTGCCACTGCACTCCAGCCTGGGTGACAGAGTGAGACTCCATCTCAAAAAAAAAAAAGGCTGTAAGTCTCAGAGGGCACAGTGGCACCTGCCTGTGGTCTCAGCTACTCCAGAGGCTAAGGTGGGAGGCTGGCTTGTGCCCAGGAGGTGGAGACTGAGTGGGCTGTGATTGTGCCACTGCCCTCCAGCCTGGGCAAGAGAATGAGCCCTTGTCTCCAAAAAAAAAAAAAAAACCGGCCGGGCGCGGTGGC